TTTTTTTTTTTTTTTTTTTTTTTTTTTGGTTTTTGGAGACAAAATTTCTCTGTGTTCCCTTGGGCTGTCCTGGACTCCCTTTGTAGACCATGGTGGCCTCAAACACATCCACCTTGCTCTGTCTCCCTGAGTACCTGAGTACCGAGATTAAAAGCATGGAGGATATCTCTGATACAGACTTTGTTGCCTGCTTTCTGATCACTTCTCCCTAATGGGACTTCTTACACAACCACAGGGCAACAAAAGGAACTCAGTCCTTATATGAACAGATGTACTGGGTGTGTATTTAAGGGTCCCTTGGCTCCCCAGTCTGAGGAATAGGGGAGAAGGGATGTAGGAGGGAGGGTGGGACTGAGAGGAGAGGAGGAAGGGGCACATGGACAAGATGTAAATTGAGTTAATTAATAATAAAAAATGAGAAAAAGAACTGAATAGTTCTATAAAGCCAAAAAAAAAATGAAAAAGGATGTGCCACCACACCTGGCTGAGCCTCTCTTATTGCAATAACCTGTCTTTCAAGACTAAAGTTAACTCTGCATTGCTTTATGCTTTAGAACAGAATCTGGTAAGAATAACAAAATTACTAAGCTTCCAGATCCTCTTACCTACTATTTGTAATCAAGCACTTATCTACCAGTTATCTTACCTAGCATTAACCAAAAAACGTTATAGCAAATGGTACAAGTACACGTAAATTCACTACAAATGGAAAGTATTATAGCACTCTTGAAAAGTCTTGAAACAACTCTTAAGATATATACAGCACTGACCAAGGTGTTCTTGAACATTCTATCCTCAGCATGTCTTCATTGTTAGTATAATGTTCTTGTGGAATGCATGCAATTTACCCTTGTTCATTCAAATGCTGATTTCTCTACTTCACTGTCTGGTTTCAATCCAAACAATGCATTGTGATGCTTATTCTAAGCATCACCTCTCTCAAGTTTGTGTAAACATGTCACATTTGCTCTCTGTAATTTCAATAAAACAAGCATCCAATGCTGAGCAATGGAGAGAATAGGGTGGGACATCTTAGTCTGGAGGGGAGAAAGAATGAAGTGGGAGGAGTAGGAGAGGAGAGATCAGCAGGAGAGGACTTGGAACCATCGGGAGAGATGAACCAGACCTAAGATAGGACTAAAAGCAAGTATAATGGGAAAATCGAAACTGAGGGCTTGGAGGATGAGGATGGAGTAATTTTTTCCCAGTTCTAGGTGAACTAAATAAATCCTCTATTGTGCTCTATGTGAACTAACTAAATCCTAGGGCACCCACATTTCTAAAAGAAACATTAATAAAACTAAAACCACACATAGATTCCCACACATTAATAGTGGGAGACTTCAACACCCCACTCTCAACAAAGGACAGGTCAACAAAACAGAAATTAAACAAAGAAACAATGTCTCTAACAGAGGTCATGAATCAAATGAACCTAAAAGACATCTACAGAAACTTACACCCAAACACAAAAGAATTTACCTTCTTCTCAGCACTTCATGGAACCTTCTCCAAAATAGACCCTGTGGTTGGTCACAAAGCGAGCCTCAACAGATACAAGAAGATTGAAATAATCCCTTGTATCTTGTCTGATCACCATGGATTAAAGCTGAACCTCAACAACAACAGAAATAGCAAAAAGCCTACACACAAGAAAACTGAACAACTTGCTGGGTCAGGGAAGAAATATAGAAAGAAATTAAAGTGATGGTAACCTTTAATTCCCCTCTTCTCCTTAGATCAATATTTTTTTTTTCCTATACTGCAAGGGCCATGTCACTTCCCACAGTTTCCATAAAGATGATTTTTATTTCTTTATCTGCTTATTTATTTATTTATTTATTTATTTATTTATTTATTTATTTATTTATTTGTGTGTGTGCACACACAATGGGGAGAGACAATCACATGCTTACCACAATGTGCTATGGATGTCAGAGAACAACTTTATAAGGTTGGTTATTTCTTTTCACTTTTTATGTAAGTTTCAGGGATTGAACTCAGGTCACCATTCTTACACTGTCAGCACCTATTTCTACTAATAAATTTCATGATTAGAAATATTTTCTAACAGAAAGAAAACTGAAAGTAAATAACCATGTATAATCACTTAGATCAGAGCTAATTAATATTTTGTTCCTATCACATGTATGTCCATCGACCTGGCTTTCCATCCTCCATCAACTAAATTTGGTTTTTGATGTGTTTCATAGTAAATATCAACACTCATGTTACCTAAAAAATCCTAGGAACTAATTTTTTTAACATTTTGTTATGTAAACTATACTTTTAGTAGTGTATAGAGGTGATAGCTATTGAATGCTCCAGGCAACTCAAAATCACTTCAAAAAATAAAACAATACAACCAATTAAGACAGTCTATTAGGCTGTAGCAGAGGTTCTATTCTGGCCTGGGATGGGGCTGAGGGGCTTGCTGCTGCTGTGTCCCCTTGATGTCTGCGTGGGGCTGCCCATCTGCTCACTGAAGGGTGCCTCAAGGGTGCAGAGAGTGCCGCTGAGTGCTTCAACCTCGTGGGTGCTTGTCGTCGTGTCCCCTCAGTCAAGTGAGTGGAATAACATGCGTGGGCATGTCCTTGAGCCAGGCACCCTCTCTCCTGTGTTTCCCCTGATCTCCTGTCAGAACCAAGAGATGAGCTGCACAGTTGAAAAGGCACTGGCTGATGAAGCCCTTGTTGAGAGGCTGAGGGACCATGAGAATGCTGCAGAGTCCCTCATTGAGCATACCACAGCCTTCAGAAAGAGAGTAGAAGCAATGATGGAGTACCACGAAGAAATCCAAGAACTTAATGAAGTTGCAATATGTTGGCCATGGTCCACACTATGGAAATCCAGCAAGAAAAGAGACAAACCAGAGAATTATAACAAGGGAACAAAGAACTGATAATATCCTTGGAAGAACACCAGTCTGCCTTGGAACTAATAATGAACAAGTACTAACAGCAGATGTTCAGATTCCTAATGGCTAGCACAAAAAAAAAAAAAAAAAAAAAAAAAAAAAAAAAAAGGACGACCCGGGCATAATAATGAAGTTAAAAGAGCAACACTTGAAGGAATTGCAAACACATGTTGACCAGATCACTGAGATGGCAGCAATAATGACAAAAACTATTGAAATTGATAAACAGCAAGGTGGCAAGGAACAGGAGCGAATATTTCAACTTGAATAAGAAAACAAAGGCTTGAGGGAGATCCTTCAGATAACTCCAGAATCCTTTTTGAACCTCTGGAAGGATGATACTTCAGAAAGCAGTATATCTCTTTCCGAATTAGTAACTAACAGTGACCTGAGTCTGAGGAAGAGCTGAGTGGCTTTTTGTATGTCACTAGGATGGGCCCTGAAATGGATGGATGAGCATAAAACCCAATTTCATTCTGTCCTTTTCCCTCTATAGTATGTAAAGTACATTGGCAAGAGACAACAGAAGAATGGATCACTAATGGTCATACTTGATTCCAAACATGGAAGGAGAAGCTGAGCCACCAAGAGAAAAGTGAGTCTTGACAATACTGTGGAGCACTTCAGTCTCAGAAGTGCTGTTGACATCCTGGATGACATAGAGGCCATCACACTGAATACTCCCAATAAACATTGGAAATCCTAAATTTTTCCTACTTTAAATGCAAGTTTTGCTGTGGTTTTCTGAATGGAAGACTTTCTTCTAAGTCTTATTCTTCCTGCTCGGTATCAGAGTTAACATTATTACATACCATGAGGCATCTGCCTTAATGCTTACCTGTCAACTTTCCTGTTTGTTCAGTCTTCCTCAAAGACAGCTCCAAGGTTATAGGAATGTGGTACTTGCACCACAGATGGAAACAATATACGTACACCTCATTCCCATAGCTCTTAGCTAGCACTTCCCATGACTTGTTGCGTGTATGCAATACCATTTCAGGAAGGAAAAACAAGTATTACTTCATAAGAAAGACCACTGTATATAGACACATTTAGTAGGTTAAACTACTTTGGAAGATTGTTTTGGTTCTCAGTTAACAATGAAACCAGCTTTTCCTCCTCTCTCCATCTTAAGGATGACAGACAGTGGGCAGAGTTGACATGTTTAATGTAACAAAATAGGCACGGTCATCTCCAAGTAAATTTGGAATTTTTGTGCTGTTTAAGAAATTACTCTTCAAATACTTAAAAAGCATATGCAGGTTCTAAAAACAAACTTCTGTGTCCAAGTTAAGCTCTGGTTCTTAAACCTGTGAGGTTTTCCCTACAATTTGTGACTTAGTAAATAGCAGTGAAGTGTGGACCCATAGGCATTTTTTCTTTGCCCTTAAAAAATATTGTATTTACAATATGCAAAACTTTTTAAGGCCACAGAATACAGAAGTGTGCCTTTCTAGCAATTGAAACCTAAATTATTTTTGTTTTGTAGTGATCAGAATAAAAGGATAAAAGAATATGAAATAAGGTTAAAATATATTATACTTGTATGTGAAGTCTATACTACAATTGGCACAAATAAAAAGTTCTCCTTTTGAGTATATCATTTGTTAGGTAAATAATACTTTGCATTGTAATGTTATGTATAATTTCATGTACTGGCAAAATTCAAAGGACTTTTCACTTGAAAAACTTTCAGTCCAAAGTTTGAGGTGAGTGGGGTCATAAGGTTGTTGGGAAAGGGCCAGTGCCCAGAAGTTAAACAGTTCTAATACAGAGGCCTTAATATTATATATATATATATATATATATATATATATATATATATATATATATATATATATATGTGTGTGTGTGTGTGTGTGTGTGTGTGTGTGTGTGTGTGTGTGTGAATTTATTTTTTTAAGATTTTTTTATTGGTTTTTGGAGAGTATGCTTTAA